CTAATAGTGAAATTGTTATCCTATCACAAATTAGTCTTTGGAGTTTTAGTTTCTATCGCTGTTTCTTTATTTCGATAGCCTACTGGCCGTATGGGCCCGTATCTTAATCTTGCCTGCGTTATCGACTTACTATTTCAATTGATGAATAAACAGACAGTGGGCTATGCTAGTTTTAGCTAACCTACCTTCCTCTAAAGTACTGCCAGTACTGTACTGCAGCATAGTGATTTTTTGAACAAAACATGGACTAATTTCCCTGATTTGGACATAAAGTAATCTGGTATTAAAACATTGGAATGCAATATTATCGCGTACCTCTTTTTACACTCCTCAACGTCAATATGATCATAACCCACAGAAATGGTGCAGATCACTTTGAGTTTGGGACCTGGAGAAGAATGTTGTAATCAAAACAAAGCTAGGCACTTCTAGGATGCTATTAGAAACATGACATAATCCGAAGGAACAGAAATCATTTGCTACGATTTTCATTCAAGCAACAAGCTTGGCTAGCATTGCATACCTGCAGCATTGAGTACATCGACATCGATCACATCCTTATAAGAACAAACTAAGCCAACGCATCCAACCACTTGTTGAAGTAGCTCTTCCTTTGGAGTAACGCCATCGCTATCTCGTATCTTGACCTCATCACTACAATAATACAATGAATTGACAGTGTCTTAACGAGAATCCCCGTTCGATTGGATCGTTAGGATTATTCAAATACATCGACTACATCGCCTTGATCGTCATTGAGGTTTAACAACATAAAATGGCCGCCATGACTGGTCAATAATATTGCAATGTATTGTTTTTCATGCACAATGCCACAGTATTTGTCATGGTATGTTTTTTTTTTCTGACCTCTATGTAGAACGGCACTGGAATGTATCAATAGAACTGACCTCAAATTGAGAAAATGTTGCTTAGGTCCTTCAGGTAATTTGGTAGTAATCAAAATTTTGGCATCCATGATGAAAGACAAGATGAGTTCTCCGATGAATGAGTCAATCCTACGCTGATGATGTTGTGTCGGACACTAGAACGAAACTACCAAAAGTTCCTCGATGGACCGAAATGACGTCATATCGATCTGGCAAAGATGGCTACCGTACTGTAGATTACAGTACAGTACCGTACAGTACAGTGTCATATACTGTACTGTACAGTACTCTGTTCTTCTACAGTACAGTACTGTACAGTACAGTGTACAGTACTGTACAGTGTACAGTATAGGAAGTGTTCCATACAGAATTGCATCGATACTTACAGTACTATTACTTATTGTACTGTACAGTACGGTACCGTAGAGGTTTTTCCAACACTGTACATCACCGCACCTAGGCCACCCACTCCGCCGAGCGCGCTTACTTTTATACTGTTTCTCTTCCACTTGGATTTATGGATGGAAACGATTTGAGTATTTGATATACAAGTACAGTCTATCTTAAAATACAGTATCTACTATATTAAGTTACATCTATATAACATTAATTCACGATAGTAATAACAATAGTTATTGCAATCTATATTAGGTATCCAAATATTTGATATACGAGTATACCTTACAATATATACTATATTAAGTTACATCTACCCGACTTCAGTCCACGATAGTAATAACAATAGTTATGGCGACGTATATTAGGTATTAGTTGTTGATATCAGATATTAACTGTCTTGGTACAGCTAATATCTACTGTATATTAGGTATTAATTGTCTTACTACAGCTCATTGACCTCTCTATCGTTCTCAAGATGAAATGTAATGTTGTTTTGTATGCGTATGAATTTTTGTATGTCAAATGAGTTAATCGAATCCGCTACACAATAGTTACTTAAAACTGATTATCAGTACCGTACTAATTACAACATTGTTATAGCTGATGACTTCCACCACTCTTGATAGATAGAGTTGGCAACAACTTTTGGATACGTTGATCGTCCACCATTTGCAATATATCCCATGACAAACAGGTTTCTACCTTCTGTGGATTATTGCAAATTTGAAGCTTCCACAAAGAGGCTGTTGTAGTCTAAACAGAATGGGTTCAAGCTGGAATGCCTTCAATACAGATTGCAATCAATTGAGTCAAATTACTGTACTCCTATCTCATTTCTTAGTTTCTTAGCACGCAACATGATGCGAGCTGAATGTGCTGACTTCCATCACTCTCGATAGATAGAGTTGGCAATAACTTTTGGATACGTTGGTCGTCCACCATTTGCAATATATCCCATGACAAACAGGTTTCTACCTTCTGTGGATTATTGCAAATTTGAAGCTTCCACAAAGAGGCTGTTGTAGTCTAAACAGAATGGGTTCAAGCTGGAATGCCTTCAATACAGATTGCAATCAAATGAGTCAAATTACTGTACACCTATCTCATTTCTTAGCACGCAACATGATGCAAACTGAATGTGCTCCAACATCGTAATAACATCTAGTCTATTGCACTATGCACCATGAGGTTACCTACAGTATACAACAACTGGCTAAAGAAATAATACCACTAATCGATTTGCTAATAATGAATTACTGTATATAGAATGCAATGCTCCATCGCAAATGCTTGGAAAAGAAAAGCACAGCAGCTCCTCCCATACCGTACTGTATAGTGTATACTATAACAGAACTACTCTATGTCAATAAATAAACAATCTGTTCTCGCAAACTCCAGCCTAACTTGACCTTCAGTAGTCGTGATAGCGCACTAGTCAAAAATTAAGAAGCAAAAGTTCAACTGTAGAACCGATTATTACAACGCTGACGAGTCTACTTAGATCTTTCTATTCCTTTCCTTTTGGCCTCCTTGGAAGTGCTACTTAAGCCAGAGCAATTTAGGTCAGTCAAACAAAAACTGAAACAAGTGGATCAGAATCCGATATTGTACAATAGGGTCGCTACGATCCAAATGGGTTAGGCCATGCCTGCCTTAAGATGGGATGGATGACCTTGTTCAATGCTTAATACTAAAGTTGTTGACTGTCTATCCCGTGTTCAGTCGTATGCCATTTTAGCATGGATTGTAACATATAACTTATTGATTGCTTTCATCTACTTACCTTTTCTACTGTAGTTTCATTTTAAACTGGACTGAAACATACCAGCATCGGACTATCATGACATCTCATTTAGTATCGAGACGATTAGCGAGTGGTTTATTCCGTCAAAGTAGACGGCTAAGCCATCCTGGCAAGATGGTACGTCAACAACGTCTTTTCTCAGCTGCACCTCTAACGCAGCTGTCGGAAGATGAGCAAATGCTTAAGGATGCCGGTAGGGATCGTATGACATATTCAAGTCATTTTCAGTCCTCGTATTAGTAAATACAGATACAATAAATTTCTTACTTGGAAAATGACTTCATCTTCACGTACGCAATATTAACACCGATCCGTTAATATCTCGCTTGTTATACAACACATGTAGTTGCCCGTTATAGCAAAGATAAAATCGCCCCGAGAACCAGAGAATTTGAACGTAACGAAATGGTTCCAATGGATCTCATCCAAGAATTATTCGACCAAGGGGTACATTTCAGATAAGCGAATTAATTCATATATGTTATCGACTCGTAGGTGATAGTATGTAATCGATATACGCTCGTAGTTCTCTAATGGCGTTACTAATTTGTACCCATGGTCGTATTAAAGCAAGAACGATCATCAACAAGGAAATGAGATGATGGATATCAGATAGAAAAACTTATACTTGTGCATACGATGTATTCAATGTCGATTGACCCATGGTTTAGTTGCATTTCTTTCGTGTAATATAAAACTAATCAACTCCAATGGTTATCTTATCTTAGTGGATGAGTGTACGATCACCTCTAGAGTATGGCGGTCCTGGAGGCAGTCTTTTTAATGCCACCCTAATTATTGAGGAATTAGGAAAACATGATCCTGGTATCAGTGGTATGCTTGACGTCCAAAATACTTTAGTCCTTGGCATTGCCTTGGATTATTTTAATGAAGAGCAAAAGAAGAAATATCTAACCAAATTATCGACGTCAACGGTATGTCGCTTCTTTGAAGAATAGAATTAGAATAAGCTTTGACATGAAAAATCAATATGTGACTTGATAAAAGAATAAAAGCGGTAGGCTAGACTTTAACATCGGCCAAAATATTGCACTCGTAAGAAAATCATTAGGGATTAAGTAGAAACTCTCATGTAGGAATCGTATTTTCCTATTCACTGAAGGAGCCTTTTTTTAATTAATGCAGTTTTCGACATTCAACTACAGTATGCCATGACCTTTATAAATCATCTGCTAAGAGCTATCTGCTAATCAATTCTTCCTAATATGTTCATTATCAATACTTATTACTATCATTGCTAGGATTGATTATCTGCTAAGGGCTATCTGCTAATCACTTCTTCCTAATATATTAGTTATCGATACGTATTACTATTATTGTTAGGAATGATCATCTACTAAGGGCTATCTGCTAATCAATTCTTCCTAATATATTAGTTATCGATACGTATTACTATTAATGTTAGGAATGATCATCTGCTAAGGGCTATCTGCTAATCTATTCTTCCTAATATATTAATTATCGATACGTATAACTATTAGTGTTAGGAATGATACCGATTCTAAAAAGTAATACATGTATTCTCTTTAGTGTTTTAACGAACAGAAAAGCGAAATAGAACAGCTAATGACTAGTTGGTTGGCAATTGACTACAGTTGCTGTCTTTCTAATGCATTAGAGGCATGATTATGCCATGCAGTAATAGTCCTTTATCATCGCTTTGCAAAACTAAGGCGTAAAAGAAGGAAGGATAATTTTCGATGCACTAATCGGTCCAACACCTTAGTTATTTAGTCCGATACTCAAATAAACTTTAATGCAAGGTTTAACCTTTCTAAGATATATCGGCATAACAATATTATATCAGTTCACTATTTAGAAACGATATTAATACTATACTGTATAACCTATGCTATACTATTAGGTGGGCTGTTTTTGTCTTTCTGAACAAGGTTCCGGTAGCGATGCATTTGCTATGCAAACGCGTGCTGTACGTGATGGAAATGATTATGTCATTAATGGCACCAAATTATGGATCACTAATGCGGACATTGCTGGTTTAATGTTTGTTATGGCCAATGCCGCACCTGATCAAGTAATGTCGAAATTCGATAATATACGTTATTATTTTGATTTAAAAATAACATGTAGTCATTGACGTAAGCAGTTTAGTTTGTAATGCAACCTAAAAGTTCAGGATTACAATTGTAGGTGCTTTTATTTGTTAATTAATTAATAGCACCATTGGTATGGAAAACTTCCATGACAAATTATGCCCTGTAAAATATATTTTAATGTTTAATTTCCGGCATAGGGCTATAAAGGAATTACTTGCTTTATTGTTGACGCTAGTACGCCTGGAGTAACCGTATCACAAAGAGAAAAGAAAGTAGGGATGTATAAATTTGTATACTACACCTTGAATAATGCCATTTTTCTTTTAATACGTCTTATTGCAGGCATAATGATATATTTTTATTCTTACGGCATTGACTAACATTTTGCACAATATTCTAAAAATGTTACCATCCTATGGAATAAACTAATACTAAAACTATTATCTTTTTACAAAGCTTGGCCAACATGCAGCTGCGAACTGTCCTGTAATCTTTGAAGACGTTAGGGTAAAGTATAACATTGTATTTTTATTGCGTATATCATTTTATTAGCCCATTCGTTAAATTTGTCATTATTGAAACAGGTTCCGGCTAGTAATGTCATTGGGGGAATTGGTCTTGGCTACAAGATTGCTGCTAGTATGCTGAATGAAGGGAGAATCGGAATAGGCGCTCAGGTAAATTAACCATATTCATGATGTCAGCAAAGCCATACGATTCATTTACAACGACATAGCTTTAACACGAACCTAGCACCTGGAGCTGTTGTTACTTGTTAATATGTTGCAACTTACAAGCACAAATTTTCTCCAATAGATGTTAGGGGCTTCTCAAGGCGTTATGGATTACGTTGTACCATATACTATGGAAAGAAAACAATTCGGGAAGCGATTGTTTGATTTTCAGGTAAAAAAATTTCGGCATAAGCTGAAATAGAATCATTTATACTGTAGATGCTTTTACATAAAACTAGATATTTACCTGATATACGTATAATATCAACTTATACCAGCCGATTATTGTTCTATAAAATGGAATGAATAGGCAATGCAACACCAAATAGCTGAAGCATGTACAAAGATAGAAGCGGCTCGTTTACTCGTATATAATGCAGCAAGACTTAAGGATAGCAACAAACCTTATGCTAAAGAAGCAGCAATAGCTAAATATTATTCTACCGAGGTATAGTTGTCGTTAAATTAAGCTAGAAGTACTTTTAACAAGTTAGATTTTTGCGCAAAAATACCTTTAAATTAATAGTTTCACTATTTTTCCAAAAAAATTATTAGCTGGCTGTACAGGTTGGTCTGAGCGGTATCAAATGGCTTGGAGCACTAGGCTACATGAAGGATGCTCCTGTAGAAAAGTTACTGAGGGACTCTATCCCAGGTATATGGAGTAGCTGTAGTTATGTATTAGATAATAATCAGTCCATTGTTGGAATGTAGCAGAAAATTGTCATAAGGAGACGTAAATCGTATCATGACATAACGAATTAGTTAGTCTTTGCTTGCGTAATTACTGAGACTTTAGATCAATCCTTACGACTCATGCAATAACTGATTGATTATTACTTTTAGGAGTTATCTATGAGGGTACAAGCAATATAATGCTGAACACTATCGCGAAATTTGTTCAAGATGAATATAAGTAAATTTTTTTGTTATGGTGAAATGATGGTACGTTTATTTAGCCTAAGGTATCCGTCGTAAGTTGCCCATGTAAGCCATTAATCAGTAAAATGGTAAAATTTCACCAATAGAGCTATATCGATTGTTAGTATTTCGTGGAAAACGCTACTAATAGGTATTAATCTATAATCTGTATTTTATACTTTATTGGCTTATACTACGCTTCATTTAGCTAACCTGGTCGGCTTGTCAGTAGGCCCTTAGAACCAAATCTTATTATCGATTTAGTCGTCATTTATTATTGGTTTCATAGATAATTGGATATTGTTCAATGTTCTTTAATTAATGCATCGGTAAATAAATAAAAATTAAATAGTACATTCAAGCTGAGTTTGATTTTCTATTCACATGAAAGCAACAGTTTTATCAAGGACTATTTACCTATGCAAAATAACCTACAAATGTAAAAGGAACAGAGATCCTTAACTTCACATTAAAAGTACGTTTTTGATGCACTAATATACTCGTACGTATACTTGAAGAAGGAAAAATTAACGTCTAAACCTATTCAACAATACTTATTTCTACAGCAGTAATTTAATGTTACTTCTAAATTGACTATAAACTAGCTTAGCACCTTTTCATTGAGGACAGGTATTGGTAGAAGTTAGGCGAACCTAACTTATGTAATAAAGTGTAGTTTACAAGAAATTGGGGTTCTTGATTTATTTATTTGAAGATCACTGTATCACAACAGGATAAATTTCGGACATAAACTAAGTAGTCATGATAACAATGAAAGTAACTGTATTTCTTTCACACTTGATTGGAGTTATAGTTGATTTAATAGTAAATTTTTATCTTATGATAATACTTAAATGCAATTAATTACACTCTGTTATTGCACTGTGTCAAATTTCATTATTATAATTAGCTAATTAAGTGTTATAATATTAGTTCGAAGCTCATTAGGATTACGTAAACCGTCTACCTTACTGAATCGTATTGACAGTTCGCATACAGATACATATGATTTTATATAATCATAATTTTTTTTATATGCACCGAAGCTAACCGTACGAGAGTAAGTAAAACCCGCTGCTAATTCTGGAATGCATCCTTTTTGATCTTGGTCGTCAAGACTAAGTAAAGATTTGAAGGAAGTTTAGCCGAAGACTTTTGTGATCGTTCTTTGGTCTGTTGTCGACTAGCCGATTATAATTTTCAGATATAAGTTCCCATGATAGTATTTATTTATGACAAATGATGCATCGCAGAATGGGCAGGAAATAAAAACTAAACCACAATGGCCGTTTATCGCATATAGAGAATAAGGAAAACATTTCCCTAATAGCTTACATTTACCTAAACTGACGAGATTATTTTTCTCTACAATTCAAAGAGTTGCATTAAATCATTACTGAGAACAAGTTATAGATAGCATCGAAAATTATAGTATTTTTTCTATATATCCACGTTTCCTTAAAATTTACGGTACATCGAACGACGACTGTATGATAGCAAGTCTTCAACAGCTAAAGGAAATAAGATCCTTTTCTTAATTAATCATGCCAAGAGTTATCTAGTATAGAAAGATTGATTTACATTGCATATTAAACATATTCATATTTGAAAAGAGAGAACTAAAGAATTTAATACCTTTTTAAATAATATTCACCCTTTTAAATTAGATATCAACAAAGAAATATTAGAAATTATCACAATTATAATTATAAATGCAGAACGAAATTTTCATATTTCGCCACAACTTATACCGATAGAGATCTAAAGCTATGATATTAAGCTATTAAAATTTAAGCAATGTATGAGACTTGATGAAGCTATGACACTACTTATAAGAAAATGTTCCTTTTAAATAGATTAACCGGAAGTAGAAAATTGAAATCTTTGCATTTCAGCACAACTTGTATTAATGGAATTTTAGACATTTTATGCCATTGAAATTTTAGCGATTAAAAAAAATAATTAAATTTTAGATCTGATTAGTTATATCATCAGGATTTGTTTAAGTATATCTCAGTTCATGAACAAGATCCTTTATTATGTGATGTACCTGATTTTACACCATCAGCTTCGGTATATCTGATTGTACATGCTATTTTTTCATTTATAATACCATCAGTTTCTCTATGTATGATCTATTATAAAAGTATCGTCTATCTAAAGTCCCATAAATCACCAGGACACCAACTAGAAACGCAATGGAGGGAGCAACTTGCTAAAAAGAAACGACTTATCAGAGTTTTAGTGAGTATTTCAATCTCATACACCCCACTGACTTGGCCATATTTTGCTAGTAACATAGGAATAGCTATAACTGACCAATCCTTGATGAAAATTAGGCAAAGGAATATTGTTTACTTTGTTTCGGTTGCTTATTCATTGACTACGATAACATCAATTGTTATCCTGAATCTATTAATATACTTGAAATTCGATAAAAATATCAGAACGAGGTCATTAATATTGCTAAAGCAACTTCAAATATGGAGATACATACGGCGTAATCGTATAGTGCAAATGCCATCTACTAGAAACATTAAAGATACTAATAATTAGATAAGATTTTCTTTCATTATATCTAAATCATTAACATATTAAAGACCTAATTTTAGCAGTATGATTCCGCTTTCGGCATAGATGATATTTTGTCATATTTTCTACGTAGATAATTGAAGTAAACCTAATGAGCTTCAATGCAGCTACTTCATTCTAAACTGTATTATCCCGCAATATTAAAAAAATTTTTGCTATCAAACGGATATAAAAGAGAAAGGAAGTATTGTACAATTAATATGCCCATGCTACGGATAAAGGGATATAAAAATCGATAGTGTTTATGTCGACTGTGGTATGAAGATAGAAGGAGAGATTAATTAGGCTAAGATCATCTAACCAAAACTAGTTTACCACTACATATTTTAATGCCTTCAGCATTCGTTTCGGCTCTTACAGCTTATTATCTATGTTCTGTTGTGAGAAATATGAACGATAAACTGTGCTAAATTTTTTTTAATATTGTGTATACTAGGATATACCAACAAGCTTAGCTGGGGAACTTTAGATTGGCAGATGTAATTGTAATGATATTGTGTTATTGTGTAGATTATAATACTGTTGACAACTTGTAGAGCTAGCAATAACAAGTACGGTCTTGTTGTTAGTACAAAGGATGTTTCAGTTTAAGTTTCGTATATAACTACAGTAATCATATAATTTCGTTCTTATACTTAGTCTAGAGGTTAATAGATGTTATTCAGTTATTCCTGTTTATGATCTTCGGATTGTAAACAGGCTAAGATATAAGTAATCAAGGTGACTCATTAGAGATTGTTTTTCGTACTTGAGATTATAGCTTGTAATAGAAGACTTTCGTTAACGAGAACCCCGTAATAAACTGTTGACTACAAATCGTTTTGGATTAGAAATATTGGAAATTAGAAAGAACAGATTTATTGCAATGACATAACAAAATCACTGTAATTAGTCGATTTTTAAGGGCCACAATAAATCAGTCTAACTGGATTTAAACCACGAATTAAGTTTTATTACAATAGAAACCAACCGTAACTGTATTTACAACCAACTATGAACAAGAAGAACTCTCGATCTATTCATTGCATAAGCTTATAAATCCTAGCGCATGACCTATCTAGTAACGGTATTAAGTAACATTATCACGCTTCCACACGTTAAGCACGGGCATTGAATTACCATATTTTACCGGGCAAGAGCGACTAATCGCATTAATCTACGCAAGTATCATAGCCTACGGTAGCGTATATTAGTAATTCTATACTTAATTAAGAATTTAACTTAAGTACTAAACTCACGTCACTACAATAAAATTTTTTGTTAGGTATGGGAAATAGAATGTGGGCTAATGATTTGTCAGTCTTTATATTCAATGAATAAAGTTTTTATTCTGGAAAATGGTTACATCATTTTACGTCCAGTATAAAGATCGCCAATAGTAATTGTATCATGAATATATTGAAATAGTCTTTCTCAAATTGAATAAAAGCAAACATTAAATGTATACTATTTACGCGTATTAACAAAAACACAAAATAGAAGAATTGTGCTGATAATCAATTGATATTAGTCATTACTTTTATCTAAGCAAAGCATTATTTACTGAAAGCCCTGAAGACTTTATTATTGGCTTATCTAGACTTAAAAGATGTTGCTCTAGGCTAAATTCAAAACGCTAATTTATGTTAATGTCATGATAATTCTTGACGAGTAATTATTATAATATGCGACAAAATATAAAATGGTGGACCTTATTATTCTTCAATAGTATGTAATCTTTTAGTTTATGATCGTCGTGTTTGAAAAGGCACGTAATAATGTAGATTGATGTCAAAGGTGATAAATCATCAACTACCGTATATCAACTATCAAAGAAAAATGTAGCCTTTACTAGGAAAAGAGAAATGATAATTTTTACAGACTTATGTCTATGACAAAAATATTGAATAGAATAAAAGTTGTTATTCACAAGTTACAATACTATTTAGTTCGGTATAAAGGATGGCACACAAGAAATACATCATCGATATAATGAATACGGTACTTGTGAAATAAGTTACAAATTTCAAAAGGTAGCAGAGAGTGTAATCTAATGAATTTCTCGATTTAAAAATTGAACTTTTTCTTGTACAGCAAAAAGACAAAAAGCTAATATCGCATTGAATAATGTAAATATCAAATTATAAAATCACGTAGTCATATCTAAATCGTTAATCAAAGCTGAAGCTGTAGAAATGATTTTGATAGAAGACGTCATAATTTCGCCGTCCCATTATTACAAGTAATTTTTCCGACATGAAATTTGAATTTGCTTTCTAAGAGCAAGTGGTCCAGCAAATCATCGACTGATAGCAGCTATTTTAGAAAAAAAATGGATATCAATAATTCCGTCAAGCCGATTATTCCTCAACAAATACAATCCCAGTATGAATCAGGACAACATCACGACAAGCTTTGCAATTTCAAGGAAGCACTACGCTATTATGTGCAGGCTCTCTATGAAGCCGAGTTAATCGCTTATTATTCAGCGGATATTAATCGTTTAAAATTTAATATTTACCTTCACATTTGTGATATTTATATAAAAACTGGGGAATGGGATAAGGCTTATGAATTTGGTAATAAGGCAGAAGAAATGGCTAATAGACTACAAGATTATGTCAAAACAGCACAAAGTATAGACAGAATAGGTGAGATATTATTATTAAAAGGTTCTCTAAGAGGTGCATTCCGTTGCTATAATGAATCGCTAGACATACGTTTGAATATCAAATCGGCAGAAAGTGAAAATTTAAAGTTCGATATTAGCCATTCATACAATCAAATTGGACTTGTTAATTTCAAACAAGGTAGATATGAAGATGCTGTCTCTAACTATAATAAATCTCTTCAAATTCGATTATCAATCCTTGATGATCAACATACGGATGTTGCACAATCTTATTACAACTTAGCCGTAGTCAAGAAGACACAAGGAAAAGACGATAAGGCTCTTGAATTGTTTGAAAAGTCGCTTGAAATCTATTTATTGCTACTCGATGATAATTATCCGGATATTAAACAATCTTTCATCTATATCAACATTGGTAAGATCTATTATAGATTAAAGAGATATGATGAAGCTCTAGCGATGTACGAAAAATCACTTAATGCCAAGTTATTATTTCTTGATAATGACCATCCTGATGTCGCCTATTTATATAGTAAAATGGGAAATGTATATGATGATCAAGGTAAGTATAACAAAGCTCTGTCTATGCATAAAATAGCGCTTAAAATTCGCTCACTGGCTCTTGACTGTTATAATCCTCACGTTGCTAATTCATATGACTGTCTTGGAATTGTCTACCGTAATTTGGGAAATTATGATATGGCTCTTTCTAGCCATGAGACAGCGAGCAGTATCAGGCATTGGTCAATTAATAGTTTGGAGAACCTTCACGATGCAAATACATTTTATCATATGGGAAATGTATATCTTACTCAAGGTCAAAATAATAAGGCCCTTTCTATGTTTCATGATGCTTTGAACATCCGATTGATGGTTCTTAATTTTTATCATCTTGATATCGCAAATCTATACGACAAGATTGGAATTATCCGATATAATTTAAGACAGTATGATCGAGCTGTTGATGTGTTTAAAAAGCTACTTCAAATTAAACGATCAGTCCTCGGCGATAACCATCTCGAAATTGCACAAGCGTACAATAACATCGGACTGGTTTACTATCATCAGTGTCTGTATAATGAGGCCATTTCTATGTTTGAGAATGCTCTGACAATTCAAGTATCACTTACTCATATTAGCAATGGCCTATCCGATGCAATATTTACGAAAAATTACATCAATGATGTACGTTTAGCTCAACAATCTTGGTATAGTCAGGCTAAAGCGACAACAAGAAGAGCGCTTAACAACCTAGTTTGGTTATTTAAAAGAAATGATACGGAAATAAATAAACCATCGGACAATAACAGCATTTGCCCTAGACTTGATAATGATATCTGTCAATAAAGTCATAAAGGTAAGCGTGGATCGTAATAGTGCTAGAATAATCACCATTAGATATCAGATAGCAATAAATTATAAAACTACTGTCGTACAGAGTATAGATTTAACGAAAATAGCGAAATGCAGCCGAAACTAACAAGTAGGGCATCAATTACTTAATCAGGCTATTTATCAGTTATTAAAAAAAATTTTTAAAGTTATGAACGATATGCTTTACATTCTTTCCCTAAAGCAAAACCTTACTTCTGAAGATTGGATGTTTCTGTCCGCGATATAATCAATTTATGCAAATTTGTGGAAGTGACCGGAAGTTAACTATAGAACCGAGTGAAATGGAAAGTACGGCAGCTAAACCTTCAAAATCCCGCATTATTACAAGAATGAAACCAACTAAGAAGACGTACAACATTTGTTCTTGATAAAATCATATCCCGTGATAGCTACACAAATTTATTAATCCTAGACTAATTTTAGACTTAGAATCAAGAACGACTTTACAAAAAAAGAAATGGACAATTGGGTCTCTTCATATTCAATTTATATAGCTTAGTATTGTTGTTCCTAAAGATTATCCTCAAACAACTAGACTCTATTAAGCACAAGATAATCATATCATCATTGCTACAGAAATACATAAACTGTAACTTTTTAATCTTAAGATGAGTTTAATTGGTAAAAGCATTAAGCAATTAACGGCTAAATATACTGACTCGTCAAATACTGTACAGTATAATTATGGATCGGAATACGAATATAATGATGATGAACAATTAACTTATTTATCTTCAGTCATTCAGCTTTGACTTTATGCCTTCCATATTCTCTTAAAAAAAACACTTGTTAGCTATTTAAAAGTACTTATCCCTTTTCATAAAGAATTAGAATTATGACATATTTCAATATTAGGATCGTACGGTAGCGATTAAGAAACTGTCTTCGAAATGCTATTTTGTTGTAACACGGTTTGAAGTAAAATTTTTCCAAGAACATTTGCCAAAGTCCCGAACTTTACTGAACAAATTTCACGTTCAATCTTACAATTGAAAAGAGCAAGGATCTCTCAGCATGAAAGTTTCTCAATTGATACCACGTACCCCGCAAGCCAAAGACCCAAATTTTTAAACTGTAACTGGGAAAAAAGGAATTTCGGCAAGTAGATGAACAACAAAAAATGAAGCATTTTCTTTCTTCTTATTTGCATTACCGATTGACCACTTATAGCCATATTGACAGTACAACGGTTATAGCCAAAACCCAATATCTGCCATTATGCATAATGCCCGGCTAAAGCCCAATAATCTAAGTAAAATTACCGTATTTCGGACTAAGTTGTTTCTTTTTAGTATGTTATTCAATCTAATGCTTTTTTGACTGTTGTCCTGATGAATGCTGTACAAATCATGTAAATCTTATATTGTCAAGTTACTATGTGCGCACCACAAATTTAATGGAAGGGTATAAAAGGACGAGCGAATGCTCAGTTCCCGATTTCTTTATTAGATCGTGTACGAGAAGGTACTCGGCTACTCTATTAATAAAAACTATACTAATCTTGTAGAACAGTCTTATCCCTATGTGACCGTAAATAGTATAGAACTACCATACAGTAGAACTCCAGGAGTAGTGGAGCAAGGCATAAGTAACCTATTAGTTTAGTGTAGTAGATCGCAACATAAGTTTGTGACAATCATATTGTGTCTATTTTCTAGCTAAAATAATTGCATTCTCATAGTTTTTATGTTAACTAGAACAACTTTTATACTGCTTACTACAAAGTACGTCGTCAATGGGATTGCATACAGTTTCACGTTATCTATTATTTCATGCCGTATCATCACGCTGCAGGAGCTTTAAAATGATCATTTAAGCCTGCAATTAATGTGCATGTAATATTACAATTTATAGCAAGAGCTTTTTTAAGGGAATTAATATGGAATTCAGGCTATTAGTAAGTGTCACGGCCATCAAAATAACCTAGATATGGATGTGTAGTTTATGATAACATTCTGTTTTGAACTTTTTAGAAGTATGAACCACTACTTTAGGAATTGTTATTGTTAGTAAAAAAAAGTGATTCAGGTTAAGGCTAAGTTGGGTGATAGTTTTATATCGTATATTGTATTGAGCGAGTTAGTACTTCGCGATGATTCCAGTTACTACACCGTAGGCTAGGAAAGTAGTCCTGCGAACTAAAGTAAAGTTATTATAAGTACTGTGTTGTTTTCTTGTGTCGCAAGGGTAGCTGTGGTAGTAAGATAAATCAGCTCTAACCTTAATACTATTTTATCACAACATGTATCAGTAGTGTGTGCAAAACGACGCGATCTTACATCATTGATTCTCACAACGATGCATAATCATTCTAGGAAACATTCTGAAACATCTGAAATTGATTAACGTTTTCTTACGATTATACACGTATAAGGGCAATAAACCCCTGGGAATTCGATTTGTTTATATACGTAAGCGGTTGCATTGGTGTTGCATAACTCATAAAAGAGAAGTTGTTCTATCCAATATTACAAAACTGATCAATCAATGGTAAAACATTAAACCAACTTCGGGTAAAGTTCTTGGTAGTACTAATCCATATCTAAGATTACCGCGGAGGAAAGTATATTCTTATTAGTGCCAAATTTAATCGGTAGGTAGCCGTAATAAAAAAAGATTAAAAATCAATAGGTTGTGCGTATTTTCTACCTGAATGAATGATTCTACATTAGCCGTCAGAGATAATTTGTTGCATGTCATCATCACGAAATAAACCGAGGGGTTGACTAGGTATTACAGCTCTACGTTGCCTAAATTATAGAGTTTAATAAGAATATGAATTTAGCCACTAATGCCATATTAAGACTTTATTACACATCTGCGGTAGGTTTTAGGAAAATCGCGATAATTTTAAATTTGCATCTCTATATACTAAATTGTAATTTTACCATTAGCCATTCCTTTCCTTAATGTGTGCCGGCAATGACTATTTTTTGTAATGCTGTATTTGCTGTATTTTGATCAAGGTCCTTTAGGTGAAGCATTTCATGAAAATATTTACATTAAAAGTAAATACGTAAATATCTGATATATTCTTGCTATCTGTGATTCTAGTTAAACAAAATAATTTAGTGAGCTAATACACTCGTACAATCTTTCACAGACTATTTGTGAAACTGTGTATAAAACAAATACTATTTTGATATTGCATAAAATTTTATTAACTAGGTACTCTATTTTAATTAGAATGATTGATTGCGCCACTTATATGCGGTGTTGTAATTCATTTCTTTCTAGTGCACTACAGTAGCACTTCTATTGGTTTGTGGAAATTAGTTGCGTGGACCTCCCTTCCTATATGCACCTTAAGGCAACTGATTATAGCAATTCAATTGATGACTGCAGTGAAAAACATTGCCAGTGCCGATTGAATCGAAAGAAAGGCAGCTAAAAAGCAATAATCAGCAAAAGGAAATAACTTACTTTTTTGGGAATGATTGAAATATAAAGAGGAAATTTGATATCTATTATTTACTATTTGCTAAGACTATATACTAGAACTTGTGTCACTGGAATTCTAATTAACATCATTTTTCTATACTGACATTATTATTCTTATAAGTACAACAGATAGGAATTAAGTATTTTCTAAACTTTTCATGGTAGTAATAAATCAAGAAGCAAATTTAAATTTAATATATTTGTGTAAATGGCACCAAATCGGAGAAAAAATTTTTATTTTCTCGTCAACGAACTTCGTCACAGTTTTACTATCTAAGAACTTTTATTATGGCATTTCATTTGCAATTATATCATGAATCTACTTATGATAACATTTATGCTGTTGATCAGATCGAATATTAATTAAAATCAATCACTATTTCCAAGTATTTTTGCATAGTTGGATAATGGTTTCTAATTCGTGATTTCTGAGTCGTGAAGCATATGAACTTTAAGACAGCTCTGAAAAATTAACTATAAATTATTAAATTCTAAATTCTATGCTAGTATTCTATTATAAGGAGCCAAATCTATTATAGGTTTTATCATTTACTCACCGCTTCTATTTTTGGGTGCTTTATTTTTTAGGCAAACCCTATTTTTACAATATTTCTTATCAAAGCTATATCGGATTTATTTAGATATATTGCATAATAAATATTAAATGATGCTCAATACTAAGTCATTTACTTGATTACACAGACATACTTGAACTTAACTATACTAGTGATATAATCCACTTTACCTTGCTATAAAATCTCATATAAATAGACGTAAAAATTGCTCGAATCAGGGGTATTGAAGGATTATATTGCTATTGGCTTAATACTTTTACACACAAAAGTTGAAAACTGCTAAATTAAAAACATAATCTTGTGACTTGTTTAACTTATGATGTTATGTAATACCGCAACATAACCACTATATCTTATTTGTTCTTAAATGTATTTCCTTAAATTACTTTAACTTACCCATGAATAATATTGATGATATCATGATCATAGATAATGCAAATTAGTGATTACTATTCGGAATATCCTAATAGCAATAAGATGGCAGTCAATTCGAATGAATACTTTTCTAAACCATCTTACACCTGCATTTACTGATTGAAGTATTTTAATATATCGTGTATTTATAACGTTTTTGCATCGACATTATTCGAACATCTACATAAATTGAGCATGCTGCTATTTAAATTCATTGATATATTGTATTGTGTCTCTCATTATTAAAAATTCATCATGTTCAAGAGACTACTGTCTTGCACATAGTAGGGGTGCTGGCGTCTAACTAACGCATTTGTTATTACTATATAGAAAATACAAACGATTAGCTCAAGGCAATGAATTTAAAATATTGCCGTAATAATAGATTGCTTTGTAATATTTTGAATGAGTAGGATGAATCTCTTTAGTCTAATGTTTAATTCATTTACTTTGAAAGTAAAGTAATGATAGACTGCGACAATGCCTTCTTTATAGAAAAAATTCATTTATACTATGTAAAAATTATCCACATTACCGATAGATCCGTTATTATTTATAAACCATTATTTTACGTAGATACCAAATAATTTCTCAACTCAATACTAGTACTATCTAATATGAGATCATCGGTTAATCTCTAATTTCTAATTGGTAAATTGAAGTAATCTCGTATACTATTAAACAATTTAATATCATTCTTAATTCTAATATCCATACCAGATAATAGATTAGATTAATCGTAAGTTGTTTAAACTACGTATCCTGCCTTTTAAATGAAAAATGTTTGCTTATCGTAATCAAACTTCAAGGCCTATTAATCAAAAACATGTAACCTCCTTATGCAAGATGGGCCAAAAACACAAGCAAGAATACAGACATCAAGAAGCCCTTTCTTGTTTTAAACAAGTACTCGATGAACTAAAATCCACGCCCAATAATGAAAATGATATAGATCGAATTCGATACGATGTTAATCTCAATATCTGTGATATTTATGTACGCCAGCGTGAATGGGTCAAAGCAAACGAATTCAGCCAGATGGGACTACAACTGGCTAATACATCACAGAAGAAAGTCAATAAAGCACGATGTCTTGATAGACAAGGTAACATCAAAAGATTGCAGGCCGATTTAAATGGTGCTTTAGATGACTATAAAAAATCGTTGGAAATAAAACTGAAATGGCTGGAGAGCAATAGTTTACATATTGCTCACTCATATAATCAAATCGGAATCGTTTACGAAAGCCAAGGCAAATTTGTTGCCGCTCTATCTGCTTACGAGAAATCACTTAAAATTTACTCTTCAAGCCTTGGTGATAATCATTCTGATACTGCTACATTATACAATAACATAGGAAGTATTTATAAAAAACAAGGCAAATACAACAAGGCCCTTTCTATGTATGATAAATCTCTGAAAATTCGAATATCTGCCGTAGGTGAAAACCATCCCCATGTCGCTACAACATACAATAACTTGGCAAGCGTTTATAAGAACCAAGGTAAACTTGATGAGGCACTTTTACTATATGATAAATCACTCAATATTCAGCTATCGATGCTTGGTGATCATCACCCGGATATAGCTACCATTTATAACAATATTGGAAGTGTATACTGCTGCCAAGGCAATTATGGAAAGGCTCTTTGCATGTACGATAACTCACTAAGAATTCGATCTATGGTCCTTGGCAATTGCCATTCTGATGTTGCTCAATCATATAACAACATAGGAGTCGTATACTGCAATCAAAACAAATTTGGTGAGGCTCTTTCTATGTTAGATCAAGCCCTTAAAATTCGATTATCGATCTTTGGTGATAATCATCCTGAAGTTGCTACATCATATAACAATGTAGGACTTATCTATCATAAACAAGGTCGGTACGATGAGGCCGTTTGTATGTTTGAAAGATCATTAAACATTAATTTGCCATTATTTGGCGATAATCATGCAAGCGTTTCTGGAACCTTTAGCAATATTGAATTAGCACGCCGTGATCTGCAATCTGCTTACGAAAACATCAAAAAATCGAATAGAAAGGGTACTAAAGTCTTTAAAAAGTTTTTCCGAAAAAATGAAGCAAATATTAATATATCCCCAAGGCCCAACGCAATCAGTGATGACGGTCTCGATGATACTAGCCAAGAAAATCAAGACATCGGTAATGCCATGATATAGTTGAGTTATGGTCGTAGAATCCCTAATATTAATTCAATATTTACTTTTCGTATCGTTTACAGATAGTATACGAACTAATCGAGAATCGGATCGCAATAGCACAGCTGTGTCGGGTAGGTAGCGCTTGGAAATTAAGTTATGAACTCTGCATCTTCGCTATTTTCGAGTTAGAATGATTAAATCTTTGCAGTTTAACTCATTACTAAAAATGAACTAAAAATTAAAAATGTTCTATATTTTTAGTTTAAATATAACTTTAAAAAGTTAGTCCTGTCATGTGATATCAACGCACCATCTAAATTCGGCCATTACAGTTATTAGTACTGAATTAATTCGATGATTTTATAGTTTGCGTAATAATTACATGCTCTATATTAACAAATATCTTGTGGAGAATGATAATTACTAAGAAAATTATGATAACTATTTAAAATACCGCTTACTAGTTATAAAAGAAATATTGATCAATAGTAAATTGTCTAGATTGGTAGTTCCGGCAGATATTCAGCAATTATAATGACTTGAAATCATTATTTTTTTAGAACCCTTAATAAAGTATTCTTGAATTGAAAAAATTAGAATGCTGTACGAATCTAGTCTGTTAATTGTATCATGTTAAAATTCTGCAATTCTATAGCTATTTTATTAATCATACTAGTCAGTGATAATTTGTTTTCAAATGACAGCGTGAATATAAAAGTAGTAATTGACCAAAATATCAAGAGGCTTTGATTGCATAGAGTGCTTGGGATTATTTAGTTTTGCTCAATTACAATCTCTATTATCCATTTGCAGATGTTATTGCTTACGATAATGACGATATGAACGGAAATGAAATAGAAAGTAGTCAATGTAAGAAAATGCCTTCCCTTCTGGTCTCAGGTACGTCTTGAAGCTAATTAAAAGCACTGTTTATTAAATAATATAAAATAAAATCCATAAATATACAAATGCTCTTTACGCTAATACTTACTTTATCACTTTGCACTATTGTACCTGAACAACATTCTCAAGTTGCGCAATTTTGAAGATCTCATGATAATCAGTCAATAAAGCTATGAAAATACATGGTCAGTATCTATTGGCCCCAATAAAATCTTACTCAAACTTATGTTAGATAAGTTAACAATTTACCATTCTGATCCATCGTTTACCTTTGGTTTGCAGTTTGCAAACGTAAATCAATTTTTTTAGCTATCTCCAGCTGATATCTTTATCTTCTATAGCATTCAATTAAAAATAAACATATGCGTATTCTCTATAGTATTTTTTTAATTAATAATTGTATGGCTACTTAATAGTGTTAATAATTTGCTATTTATCTATTGGATGCATATTCAAATCCAAACATTACTGATACGTAAGCAAAATATACCGCAATGAATTTTAATCAATCTTTGAATCGAACGTGTTATTTTTCCCATATGATACAAATATTAACTAAATAAGAAATGTAAAGTTACTTAGTATTGTAATTGTAAACTATTAGCCATGTTTAGTATGGCGTACGGTAGTGTCTTTTCTATATTTATCTTGTGATATATTTAGTAGCCTATAATTATAGACTCTATGCTAGGGTACAGATGACTATATGCAGTAAGATATTGAGCTACTAATAAAGTTAGAGGAAGAAATAGAATTGTAAATCATGTAATAGGATATGCTTAATTCATTGCACTTTGAACGGTAGTAATAATATCTACGAAAATACTGTAATCATTTCTATATTGATTAATGACGGTTCGCTGTAAAACATTATGACTAATAATAAGCTGAATATGTGTAAAAGATAGGAGAATGCTGCTGCGCCGATCGTAGCTGCGAAGGCTACGAAGAGTATAAAAGCAGGTGACATTAAATTATCTGATCATTTTTTTCTAGAAGCTTATCAGCAGTTGTATTCTGCTCGAGTAGCGCTGTGTGCAGCTAGTCTTTGTATTAGATCTAAATAATAAAGCTCTAGTTTTCTATAACTTTGATATTTTCGTGATCGGATCTTATAACAGGAAATCAAAGTTTACAAATTGAGTATTCTCTTTATAATATATTTGGAGCCATAATTTTCAGTAAATCATAATTACAGGTCGTAAGTATAATATAAAATTACTTTCTTCTCATATTATGTAAGCATCACTACAATTAATCAATTCATCACTGCATCTGCTTTTACCTTCTAACTGCACTAGTTTTACCGCTCTTTCCATGTTTGAAATTATTTCTGTTAAGAATTCATTTAATTTAATGACTAAGATGAATTTACAAGTCCTTTTTGCGACCAGACTAATATCTTCTTTAAGTTTGAAACTATTACAACTAAATATTGAGAATTGCTCGATAAATTAATTTAATTTTTGAAGTATGGCAATAACTGCTGCAGAATCAGCTCTAGTAATAAAAATTTTAATGGCTACCATAAATAACTTTCACCTTTCATCTCACAGCAAGAAAAAAGATCAATCACTAATAATCACTAATAATCACTAATTTTATCACTTCCTAAATTATTGATAAATCTTAATTGAAGTTAGATCAAAAATGTAACAATTCGTTATCCTGATCTATCGTTCACTTTTGGTTGGTAGTTAGTAAACAAAGATTAGATTTCATTTGTGTTTCTCCAGCTACCCCATCGGGCGTAATAGGAATCAATCAGTTAACCTACGGAAGTCTTTTAAATATGCTTGATAATACATATCTTTTGTTAAATTGAATATCAATGCAATTATCCAACATTCAAGGAATCGTTCGCAAAAAATAAAACAGAAGTAGTAGAATAGAACTATGCCGTCAGAGATAATAAAAAGATATTTTACTGTCATCCTTTACATTTCAAATATTTATTGATGAACTAAATACCGATAAATCTATGAATATTTTTCTTGCTGGAGCACACTGTTATTATTATATTTTTATATTGATTTAATAGAAAAATTTATCTGTATTTTATTGATACCCTTACATTCTGGAAAAAATATGCCAAAAGCCTAGTAGATAAACCCAATCATAATATCGCAGTTACCACTGATATCATAATTCTGAGGATTACCATAACTATTCGTAAACCACTACTCGGTACTAGTGGTATACTAGTATACTAGCATTCATGCTTACTAGTAGTATTTTTTTCTTGTATTTAATAATATAGTATTATTCCTTATTTCACCTTGTTTAAATAATACATTGCTATTTTTTCTTCTTCTTCTACGTATTTTACAAGATTTTATGAAATACTGTAGAAAAATAGAACGCAATCATACGTAGTTTAAAATAGAAAATTTTGTTATATTTTCCCAGTAATTTACTACTAGATTTTGAGAATGTGCTCTGTGATTTTAATAGTTATTTTGTTAAGCTGGAACTTAGATTACAAATCCCATGCATCTAAGATGTCAGCGATCGCCTAATCTAAAGATAGAGCGTTAGATAGCTTTTACGAAGTTAAATTTATTTAGAATTTAAGTAAAGCCCTGTCATTCATAATTACTTCAACCGGCATTTTTTCATATATGTCCATCGCTCTTTATTATTGAAGTAGGACGTAAAATGGATATAAGAGCATTTAGAATTGCAATAGATACACGTTGACATGTCAAAATTTAAAGGTTCTTATGTTTTAAACGGTACCAGAGATAATATTTGGTGTATTTCATGATTAGTAAGTTAGCTTTATAGCATTTTGTTTGGAAATCGTAAGGTAAACACGATAATGTCTAGACTTTGTACGATTTTTATTTTTAGAAATGATGTGAAGCACGTGTATAAACAAAAATTAATCCTAATAGTGATTGGTCGATAAGTGTTTTATTTTAAATACCACCAAAAGCTTCACGAAGCCTATAAGAGGTGGTACAACCAGAAAATAAGAAAAAAGAAAAAAAGAGATTGATTTTGGGAAGAACTTGTTTAAAATTAGAAAGCTAACTAGGCCCACAAGTTGCAAGTGAAAATGTTCATTTTCTGGCCAGAATGGTCCGTTATTGACAGCTTTAGTTCTGTCTCTCTTTATGTAATGAAAACTAATTTTTAGAATTCTCTTTCAAGTTTTTTTCAACTTCAGTAAGTATTATAATTTTAAAAAGACTCAATTTAGTTTAATAACCGTAGATTCTACAGTACATAGTGGTTTAGTACCGTCTATCGTAAACCCGACCACTTTATTTAGGTTAGAATTTAATAACTTAGTTTTTTTAAGAACTGCAACGTAAGATCGTAAATTTGACTATATATTTAGATAACTCAGTATTAAAGCTGCAATCTTGATTAAAAACTAGCAGCTAATTACGAATAAAAATTATAGTAGAAATAATATTGCTTTATGATAAACTACAGTGGAAACTATGGCGTTAACAGATATATTATCATCGATTTAGAAGGCTTTAGAAGCTTGACGGAGCGATTTTTTACGTTTTCCGTATTTTATTAAAATTTGGAACAAGAATTGTCGAGCAGTGAGGATTAAATTTAAATTACAAGATAACTTAATAGGGTTGCAAAGTCATTGAAACTGCAATCAAGCTGATGTAATAAAGCTCGCCATAATTCGTCCTTAAGATTCCATTAATTAAACAAATCATCAAGCATCATTGGTAAATAAATGAATTTGATTACATTGTAATTAACCTCAGTTGAAACCGTAATTTCTCATTTGAAAATAAAACTCAGGCTTTGAATCAAGGCTGTGAGGTGATTTCAGTTCCGATCAACTTAGGAAAATTGGCTCATACTTCAGTTCTAATCACAAATTTATTCTGTAAGAACAATTATTTCGACCATATGTATACCCATTCCAGTTTAACTGAAAAGCATGGCTACAGAACAACCTACGGAGTCTACTGTTCCCCAAAATATTCAGTCTCTATTTGAAATGGCTAAAGAGAGTAAAACAAAATTTGACTTTAAAAATGCGCTTCCTTCCTATATGGAATCTCTACATAAAATTGAAATAATACCCAATTCCTCTGCTGATGTTGAACGACTTAAGTGTAATATTTACATAGACATTAGTGATATTTACAGACGTGAACGCATTTGGACAAAAGCCTACGAATTTTGCAACCTAGCGCAACAGGTAGCAAATGAACTACAAGACCAGGTCTGCATCGCTAATTGCTGGGATAGACAAGGAAGTATCAAAAGATTACAAGGCGATTTAAATGGAGCATTACACGATTTTCATAAAGCTTTAGAAATAAAGTTAACTTCTCTAGGAGAGAAAAATCTAAATATCAGTGATTCGTATAATAACATCGGACTAGTTAAGTGGAAACAAGGAGAAAATTATGAAGCTCTCGCTATGTATGACAAATCACTCGAAATCAAGCTATCAATACTTGATGATAATCATCCTGACATTTCTCGGGTATACCATAATAAGGGGCTTATCTATGAGCAACAAGGCAAGTATAATGATGCTCTTTCCATGTATCAGAAGTCATTCGAAATTGAATCCCATCATTTAGGTGATAATCATGCCATAGTTGACGAGTCATATAACAATATTGGAAATATCTACTTACGTCAAGGCAAATATGATAAGGCTCTTGCTATATTTAAAAAATGTCTTGAAGCTCGACTATTAGTCTTTGGAGAAAATCGCTCGTCTGTTGCAGCATCTTATCTTAGCATGGGTGTAGCATACAAGAAGAAAGGAAGACTTAATGATTGCCTCTCCCAGTATCTTAAATCACTTAAAATTTACTTATCAATTCTGGCCAACGATCATCCTGACCTTTCGCCGATATATCATGATATTGGAAATGTTTACGATTCATTGGGTAAATATGATGATGCTTTAACAATGCATAACAAATCGCTCAAAATTCAATTATCGGTCTATAGTGAAAATCATCAATATGTTGCTAATAATTATGAAGACTTGGGAGTTGTCTATGAACATCAAGGACAATACGACAAATCTCTATCTATGCATGAAAAGTCCCTTAAAATACGATTAGCACAACTAGATGAAAATCATCCTAGTATCGCTGCATCCTATAAAAATATAGCAAATATTTATGATCATCAAAACAGGTGCGATGAAGCTCTTTCAATGTATCAAAAATCACTTAAAATTTTATTATTAGTCTTAGGCGATACTCATCCCGATATTTCACAGCTATATCAAGACATGGGGAATTCGTATTACAAACAATTAAAGTATAATCAGGCCCTTACTAAATATAATGAAGCACTAAATATTTTGCATAAAACTTTTGGAGAAAATCATTCTAGTATTGCTGATATATATGAAAAACTAGCAGGATGTAACAATCATTTACATCACTTTGACGATGCTATTGCCATGCAACAAAAATCAGAAACTATTCGCAATTGTTTACCTCAAGAAATGAATATCTCTGAGTCATTAACTAATCAATCAGGAAAAATACAAGGTTCTCTATCTTCTCCTAATTTCTTTACCTTAATGATTAAGACTAATTAGCTGAAAGTTAAGTAATAGATTTTTTCCGCTATTTGTAAACTAATAATTAATTATATATACTCGTAAACATATATATTAAAAGAAGAAGTAAATAAAAGGAAAAGCCGAGGACAAGATCACCATAAGCCACAATTTCTAAGTAAGTACAGTTTAAAAATCAAACATTACCTATTCTGTATTATGCAAGAGCATCATGAAATTGATATATATTTAAATTAATCTACATTAATGTAATATTCAACAATAATTAAGATAATCAATCACAATTGCGGTCAAGTGACAGCGAAAACCACAGCAACGAACAAGATTGGGCCAATAATCGAGGTAAAATTTAATAATTCATTCCTGGTTTGTATTGATCACAGATTCTTCTTCTAATCATTGATTAACTTTCAAAGCTGAATAAGCCTCTTGATAATTTTCTCCTTTCAGTTACTGATATTCAAGAAAAGCGATATTTTCGTGGATATATCAAAGCTTTAGACCGAGGGAGCTGCTTTAATAATTTAGTAAGAGCTATGTTTACTGGCCCACGAAATGTTGGTAAATCATCTATCATGAGGGCGTTTACTCGACAAGTACTTAAACCAAATCAACCTCCTACGGAGATTGTCCATCAATCTGAAACAGTAATCGAAATAGCATATAATTTACAAAATCTTCAGCTTGATGATTTACGCCAAATTTGGAGAGTTAATATAAATTCCATTATGCAAACATTCAACAATGATAGCACGACTCAAGTATCAGCTGGTTCAGTTTATCGCCAAACTATAGCTGACACTGGATCTATCGATTTCACATATGAAACTGATAAACAAGATCCCATTGCTTCAAAAGATTTAGAGACAATGAATTCTAAATCAAGCATGCAACAATTACGAGATGTCTTCCAATATTATTTTTCTCTGCCACCAATGAAAAAGAATTACTTGGACTACGATAGCCAATATGCTAAAATATGGGATTTCGGCGGTCATGAAATTTACCATATTACTCATCGTCTATTCATGTCCGAAAACAGTATATATATTCTTGTATTCAATATTGCCCTTGATATTTATGACAAAGTACGGACGCGAGATGGTCAATTACTGAACACAACTTATTTACACGCCATGCAAGAATGGTTGACGTCTATCATCGGTAGTCATAGAGATGGTGGTGAGATTACAGCGAATATTGACAATGATAATGTTAAGTATTCGTTGCCCATCGTTATCTTAGTCGCATCGCATGGCGATTTAATATTAAAAGAAGAAGAACGTATCCGTCGATTTAATCAATTTGAGCGTGAAATAAGATCGCATATGCCAATCTATAAAAACAATATCTATTCTTCAGGTATCGTTTTTAACTGTAATGCTGAAGACAATAGCCTACCAACCAAGATTAATCGGACGTATTGCAGTTTTCGTCTGCATCACATAATTAAAAAATTTGCGCAATCGTTACCATTCATGAAGAGTTCTATTCCTATACGTTGGATCATTATGGCAACAATATTACGTGTAGCCTCCTTCAGCCATGACAATCCATCAACTTCCTCAAAAATCAATCAAATTCGGACTGATAGCATTAGTAATATCATGACCATACAAGAAGTAATTAATTTGGCTCAGAAGTACTGCTTATATGAGAATGAAGAAGAGTTAATCGATATGCTGACTTATTTACATGATTTAGGAGAAATTATATTTTGCAAGAAAGCGGGTTATGGAGGAATCGTTGTAACAAATGTTGATTGGTTATTAAAAATATTTCGTAGCCTTATCCAGTGCCATGAATGTCCTTCTGGTAGCTCGTCTATAATATCTGAGTATGAAAAGGCTAGCCAAACAGGGAAGTTATCAAGATCTTACATTGATTATGTTCTTCAAAAATTAGATGAAGATGCAAAGAAGAATATACTGAAATTAATGGAGACTTATGATATAGTATGCCAGATTAAAAATGATAATGACGAAGATGAAAGTAAATATTTTGCCCCATACTTGCTACGCTCCGATGTTGATCCATTTAATTTAACAGGATATCTTTTATCAGATTGGTTCTATATCGGATATGAGAACAAGGACATTCCTTATATCCCAGATGGAATCTATTATTGTTTATTGTCAGCCTGCATGAAGGAATGGAATAATACTAAAGTAGAACTGTATCATCATTGCGCAAAGTATTATCTAGCAAACGATGGTCATTACGTTATTGTCAAAAAAGAAGGCTCTTACATCGGTTTACAATATTGCTATCAAAAAGTAAGAGAATCTGAAATTGAAGATAAAATCATGGACAAAGTTTTTAATTCTTTACATAGTAAACGTCTCCATGCCATCATTAGGGCTAAATTAGTATCGATAATAGAAGAAAGAATGCCAAAGTTTAAAAATAAAAATTGTCAATTCTATGTTCAATGCAGCTACTGTAATAAATTAACTAGTGTAAAATGTAAAATCAATGTACAAATCCAAAATTGGATTCAATGTCAGAACTGCCATAATTATTTCGAAAGCAACTCGATTAGCGATTGGATACCATACGATAAGAAATTGTGGAAAGGTATGCTAATGTTAGAATTAGGGATATAATGTCTATAGCAAGCCTGATGATAAAATTACGGCACTTATCCTTTTATATCAATGATATTTATTATCATATCACAGTTGTGTACACGCCTAAATACATTGATTTCCCTTAGTTTTTATTCTGTAAATACTAGCATCAAAACTACCCTTGCGATACAAGAAAACAGTACAGCACTTATAATAAACTTTGCTTTAATTCACAGAACTACTTCCCTAGCCTTCGGTATAGCAATTGAAATCCTTGCGAAGTACACACTAACTTGCTAAACACAATATACGGTATATAACTCTCACACATTTTAGCCTTAATCTAAGCCACTTTTAATTGATCACAGTCCTACCTATATGCTCTTTCAGTCGTTATAGAGATATTTAGTATACGATCAACATATTTCAACAACAAATATGTTATAGCGATTAAATTATCGAATACGGACATTCGAGGTAATAAAAAATTTCATACGTAAATCTACTTCGATTGTAAGCCCTGTCAAACCCCTATATTCTCAGTACTTACTTGTACCATATTACTGTAGCGTCATAATATCATAATAAACTTAGTTTATTACTAACAATTGCAACTCCTAAAGTAGTAGTTCATACTTCTAACAAGTTCAAAACAAAATTTTATCACAAACTACTCATCCATATCTAAGTTATTTTGATGACTGTGACAACTAGCTCTAAGGGAATCGATCTTGAACATGCTCATAATCATTTTTTGTAAACTTATATCGCTTAGATCGGTGGTACGGTAAGCTTCGAATGTCGGATACTCAAACAAGCAACAACAGTAAGATCTTATAAAGTTGTAAATTAAACCTTATATGCTTGCATTAAAAGTTGCTACAAATGACTATAGAAGATGCAATACTGCGACGCAGGACTAACTTTATTTTAAATTTACTTCGTACCATAATTTTTCTTGCGCCTTATACTTTAAAAAATCGAAAGTACACTATAACTTTCTCATTATTTGTACATGTAATGGTTTAAATTCTTTCATTTCCACTACGTTTTCAAAGATAGTAAATGAAAACTGTTGAGAATGAGACATTCAAATAGAACAGTAGAAGTACTCTACAAATATAACTTGCAAAAACTACGTTATGCAGACACAATGCTAAATTTTTAAATACTTTTATTAAATTTCATCGGAATAAACCGTATATATTTGAAGATATTTTACTACGCTTATACTGGCATGAACGACAATTATAGCGTAAATAACACAGTAAAATATACTGCTGAGGCTTGCTAAAATTTATATACTTTACCAAAATTTTTCATAGTACATGCCGTCCACTTGGAGTATAAATATAGAATTAATAAAATATATCAATAATGTGTATCTTCCAGGAATAGTAGATGCCATTTTCTGCAATTTAGAGTGTTTAAAATAAGCATTCACTTTATTAAATCTTTATTATTCTGAGAAAATCTCTTATTTCCTCTAGATAACGAAATTTCGCGTCCACAGCTGTGTCATGCCTTAAACTATTATAATGAAGATTTCATTCGCATTATACCTACTGATGAAATACTACTCAAATTAAAAGCAAAGCATATTTTAAGTGAAAGAGAAGTAACAGATATAAGAAGGCTTCCACATGAAGAGCAAAAAGCAGATCGACTTTTCAATATCTTACAAAATCGTGCTGATGGGAATGATTTCCTAGAATTTTGTGATGTATTAAATAATAATACTATTCAAAGAGTTCAAAAGCTAGGAAGGCAATTAGAAGTTAAAGCTAGAAATTTCACTAATGATTCGTAAGAAACGACAATAGAGCCTTACTATCATATTATTTTCCACGGAGATGAAGCATGACATTGAATAGAAATTAGGCGCCGAAATAATTTTGCCAAATTTATTAAAATTGAAGTATTTTCTACTTAGCCATTGCTATCAAACTGCGGTATGAGAATTTTCCTTCGATACGCTGATAATTTGATTTACTAAGTACTTAGAAAGTGTTATCGAAATTATTAATGGTAATAAAAATTTACTCAACTTGTAAATATCATCTGTTTCGAAACGTATTAGGAAAAATATCTAGTTTCGCCATTTATCTTTTGGGCCTTAAGACCGTAATATGGAAACATTAGTATAAAAACTATTTAATTAACTCAAGATAACTTGTTAGATTAAAGCCTGTCCGTCTTAATCGTCCCACTGCCGCCTCTAAATTAAAATTTACTCAATTGAACTTAAAATATAATTACTAGAAATCTAATGATTCTTTTCACTTAGTCTGTACATCACTATCGCTTTAATTACTCAATGAGCATTAACATAGTTGATATTGTCGATAAATCAATAAAGATGACTGCCTGATGATCAATGAAATCTGAATCTTGAAGTCGACAATTTGAAACAAGATCTATTCAGTAAGTTATGCGTTTGTATCACCTACTTTCAAGGATAACTCATTAATACTTTTGACCGTTATTATTTCGTTGGCCTATATTGCCTTCTGACAGATTGTGTATTAAAAAAAGTTTAAAAAGCCCAATACTGTATATACGAGTATATACTAGCAGTCAATCTACTATTTCTAATTACCTGATGATCAAGAAATCTAAATCTTGCAGTCGACAATACGACACAAGATCTATTCAGCAATTTATGTCATTGTGTTATCTACTTTTCAAAGTTTCATCATTAACTTATTATTATTGGCTATTACTATTTCGTGGGCCTATATTATTTCCCGACAGAGTATGTACCGAAATAAGTTAAAAAAGCCTAAAACTGGACATGAATTGGTAGTCAGCCTATTATATTAAATGAGACCCTTTGAAATGACTGAATAATCACTTTGGCAGTTTTCAAATTAGCTTCTACGGATTGTTGCTGCTGAGTACTACACCTCAAAGGTCTTAACCAGCGGCCCATAATACGAATATACTACATCATCTAAGAATTACGCAACAGCACCCTTCTGAAAAGTTTGAAACTAGTGCTTTATCTTAAACGGTTCTTTACTACAATTTTTTGCAAGCGATGCTGGAAATCTATTGCTATGAAAAATTATCAACAGAGGCATTTAAGAAACTATACGTGATGGCTATATTAAAATGCGTGGGAATATGAATGTGGCGTATAACTAGTAGTACTGCAATAATGCCCAAATAGTGAAGTGATAAAGTTCTTTTTTATTCTACTTCAACTTAAAGGTCAATACAGAGCGATTGCCAATTATTGTAGGCATGAAATTATATTTATACTACTGCAAATGAAAGGTCAGAAAGAACGATTATCTAGAACAGAAGCCTTACCGGCATTTACCATTCGTAAAATAAGTATATGAACAACCTAATCTGTTATTATCTATGCTGCATTTGGAATGATAGATGATAATGAAGTAAATGGTGCAATGGTATCAGTAGATACTCCTACAGTATTAATAATTTGTAATAAAAGCTATTGCTATCTGCTCACGTTTTCTTTGGATTTGAATTTTACTGCAGTCATTGGTAATATAGGATGAAATATCGAACGTCCATCTACAATTAAAGTCTATATAAAATCTTAGACATCAAGCCTGCAAATTACGTTTGCTTTACAAAACAGAAGAAACATTTCTTATCTCTTTAGACATTTTAATAGGAAGTTAAGGATTTTTTAATGTCAAAAATGCGAGTACGGAATTTGAATTCGTTAATTCCAGTGCAAGACAATTGGATTTTCATCCATAAAATTGAGATTCAGAATTTAAAAATTCGCTCATTACATCAACTGACAAACAAATTAATTTTGCTCCAGACACTAGATGCAAGTAGGGAAGCCAAATATAGTGATAGAATAAAAACGAGGGATAAATTGAAAACGTCCTCTACACCACAGTATATTGATCAATTTCCAGACATAACGTAAGCTATCAATGTTAAAGTGAATAATATCGTACACTAAAAATCCCACCTGGTGTTATAAACTCAATACCGGAGCTGCATGGGATTGCGTCAATAAAAGCGATTTGCATCCCGATAACTATACCTTATAGCAGGATTTTGGTTTATAAGTATTATTGTAATTTTAATAAAACAGGGAAAAAATACACTTATAATTGTAATGATTTTATAGTCATAATGAAAAGAGTTGCGATGGGTTCGACAAATGAAAATTTCTGCATGTATAAACATGGAAGTAGCGACTGACAGAGTTACATCTGGTATACTGTAGACCTAAGATCTTACTTAATATTGTCATAAAGTTAAGCAAAAGTAGGAGTTAAAAATGGAGAGCCATCAAACAAGCACTTATCATTAAAATCGTAGTGCCTGCTCGATCCGTGCGTTTAAAGTACATTTTATACATTAAGGACGAAGTGTCACTTTTACAGTATGACAGGATTAGAACAAATGATGAATGATTAACGTTCCTTCATTGATTACTATTAATCAAATTTCAGTCCAATAACTAAGTATTATTATTTAATTTACATCTAGAAACTCCATTTATTAGAAATGAAAGGCTTTAACTTCAATTATCAAGACAAAATAAGTCAATTGTGAATTTTTTGTAGGTGAAAAATCTTCTTGCCAAAAAGTTATGATGCCTCTTATCCGATAATGTGATATTGATAAAGTTTGTAGAGTCATCGCATCGGTAACAAATTAAGCAGAAAAGTGAGAAAGAAATACGGGTCTTTACCAAAGTCCTACTAAGGAAAACCCGTGCTAGCTTATGACATGAGAATGGGATATAGTCGGACATCCGTAATGAAGAGTAAAAGCTTAACATATAAGTAATACGCAAATCACCGAATACAGGATTACGTAATCGCACCTTATGAAGATGTAAGCACATCATGCGAGAGTCTGTCATAACTTAAAAGAAGTGACCAAATTAATTTACTTCTATTTCAAGGCCTATCATCAGTATAGCCAGACTGGAGCAAAAGAAAACTACGGAGCAATAAATGGTTAATTGAAAAATTCTACCAATAGAGCGTGCTACCATAATCGGTTAGTCTGTTTTTAATTTTATAGATACGACAGCTATCGATATTTTAAAGACCTTCAGTTTATGCAAATTTACTTAACTAATCCTGTATTTACTCTAGTCTTTCTCTAGAAACTGATCGTATGCGATTGAATAATTTATCATCCACTAGCAGAAGTAGATGGCTGCAATCGATTCAAATTTTAAACCAACCGGCACGCGATAGTAAGAATAAGAACGAGCTAATACATAAAATTTAAGCAGATGCCTACCACATTCCATTAACTTACAGTTATTATTTACCATTCTGACTTTGTGTGCGTTGAGAAATTCCTTTATAGCCGGGCAAAATAAATAAACATACATCCAAAAATAAATAATCAATGTCATTAAGGCAACAAATAGAGTATATATTGCCAATTAGATGTAAGAAAAGAAATAATATCTTGTTTCCGGCTGACTGTCGCTTCATTTTGGGGGCAAAGCAATTCCTAATCTCTTAGAGTCTCTTTAATAATGCAATTAATAAATGTTATGATGATTAGTTATATTTATCAAAACTAATTGCGTCATTAAGAGCCTCGTATTATGTCAGACTTGTTGATAAAGATATGACATAAATAGATTTGATTAGTTGACTTTATATATTAGCTTCGAAATCGATATGCAATCGCAAAGATAGCGTAAAATCCATATAAAAGGGAATAAATTCAAGTAATAGGGCTAATGTAAGGTGAAGATATCTTACAAGCAATCAAGGATATGAACCTTACCCTGAATAAAGTTATGAAATTGTGATAGTACATCTAATCGCTACTGTTTAATAAGCATGGCGCAATCATATTACAATATCGGACTTACCTACTAGGAACAAGGCAAGCATAATCAAGCCCTTTCTATGTACCAAGAGTTACTCGAAATTGAATTACCAATTTTAGGAGAAATGCATTCTACTATTACACTAACATTAAACGACATAAAAATTATATATTTCGATCAAGGCAATTATAAACATGCTCTTTCCTTACTTATAAAGTCTCGAGATATTCGAATATCGGTTTTTGAAGAATAACATCCCAATACTGCAACCCCATGTAACAACCTCCGAGTGATCTACAAACAGTAAGGTAAATAATGATGCTCTTGCAATATATAACAAATCGCTCAAATTAAATAATCAATTTACAGTATTAACCATCCTGAAGAAACTGGGCTATATCACAACATTAGAACAGTCTACATGAATCAAGGTAAGTATGGTGAGGCTATTTACATGCACAAGAAGACGCTGAGAATTAAATTATTTGTCAATGGGGAGAAAAGTCTCAATGCTGCAAGTTCATACTATAAATTAGGACTTATCTATTACAGACAACAAAAGTATAATCAAGAAGTTAAAATTAAACTACCTGCCTTATTCAAAATGCATCCCTTAATTGCACAATTATATAACGACATCGGAAATGTATATTATGATCAAGGTAATTATGATGACTCTCATTCATTTAGCAATATGTTTTGAAACATTCGAGTTTTAGTCTTTGGAAATAAACGTCTCGACATTGTAAAATCATACAACAGCACTGGAGTCATCTACAAAAAGCAGGGCAAATATGGCCATGTCCTTGCAATGAATGATAAATCGCTCAAAATTCAATTACTAATTCTCAGTAGTAATCATCCTGAAATTGCTACTCTATATAATAATTATGGAACAATGTATATGAAATAAGGCAAGTATAGTGAAGCAGAATCCATGCATTAGAATGCGCTTAAAATTAATTTATCAGTCAATAGCGAGAATTACATCGAAGCCCAAATACTTATCA